TCACAGTGATTGTGAAGCGTCACAGTGATTGTGAAGCGTCACAGTGATTGTGAAGCGTCACAGTGATTGTGAAGCGTCACAGTGATTGTGAAGCGTCACAGTGATTGTGAAGCATCACAGTGATTGTGAAGCCTCACAGTGATTGTGAAGCGTCACACAGTGATTGTGAATCCTCACAGTGATTGTGAAGCGTCACACATTGATTATGAAGCGTCACACAGTGATTGTGAAGCCTCACAGTGATTGTGAAGTCTCACAGTGATTGTGAAGCCTCACAGTGATTGTGAAGCGTCACACAGTGATTGTGAAGCCTCACAGTGATTGTGAAGCCTCACAGTGATTGTGAAGCCTCACAGTGATTGTGAAACGTCACACAGTGATTGTGAAGCCTCACAGTGATTGTGAAGCCTCACAGTGATTGTGAAGCGTCACAGTTAGTGTTCTCTGTAGGTTGGAGATTTCCTCTGATAACACTGATTTACAGGAAACCCTCAGAGCAGCTGCTACACAACGGAGAGGAAAACACATTTTGTTTTGCCTCTCCGTGTTCCTGTGAACAACAACACACCCTTTTGTTTGAACGTGATGAAGGGAAGTTCCCGCCGGAATGAGTCATCCTCCACAACTTCATCATCACTCTGTGGCAAAACAATGAAGAAGTGAGAATTCTGACATTTTCCTGCATCTCTGACAGCTGGGGCGCTTCACTAAAGAGGGCCAGCTGTTCCTGGGTCCTCTGGGGAGCACCGGCGAGGACACCCGCTGCGTGGTGGACGATCAGGTCAGCAGCTTCCCGCAGCTCCTGAACTGTGACAAGGTGACCAGCGTGAAGCAGAAGACCTGGAGCTTCTCTCAGGTGAGGAGGAGGAAAGAAATCCTGCTGGGTTTCTGGAAGGTCAGAGGTCAGTCTTCCTGATAACAAATAATGTTTCAAACAACGAATTATCTTTTGTGGAGATTTATTACATGTGGCTCCAAAAACACAAACAGGAAGTTTATATTTGATTGGTGCAGATTTGGACCTATGAGCCAATCAGCATCTGGGAAATGCTCATGATAGAAGTTTGTGCGATTGGACATGTTTTAATAACATCAGGTTTGATAGGTGCTCTTTACAATCAGTAACATTTTTAAATGTTATATTTAGCACAGCTTTTAGTAGCTGAAGTTTTCCCCTCAAACCAATATACATGCTAGTTGCTAGCCTCTCTAATGCTAACACCAGCTTATCCATGCTAGTCGCTAGCCTRTCRYATGCTAACACCAGCTTATCCATGCTAGTCGCTAGCCTCTCTGATGCTAACGCCAGCTTATCCATGCTAGTCGCTAGCCTCTCTGATGCTAATGCCAGCTTATTCATGCTAGTCACTAGCCTCTTCAATGCTAACACCAGCTTATCCATGCTAGTTGCTAGCCTCTCTGATGCTAACACCAGCTTATCCATGCTAGTTGCTAGCCTCTCTGATGCTAACACCAGCTTATCCATGCTAGTCACTAGCCTCTATGATGCTAACACCAGCTTATCCATGCTAGTCACTAGCCTCTTCAATGCTAACACCAGCTTATCCTTGCTAGTTGCTAGCCTCGCTGATGCTAACATCAGCTTATCCTTGCTAGTCGCTAGCCTCGCTGATGCTAAATTATTTCTTTGTATTTTAATTGAGTTGTACAGGTTATAACTCACATTAAAGGTGGAAAAGATTCTGAAATGTTTTAAAAACCTGTCATTTAACAGGTGTGTGGATTTTTTCTATCCACTGTCTGTTTCCTCAAAATTAGAACTCAATATTTAATATTTTGGAACCTTTTATGAGTCGTAACAAAATGAACTAAAGGGTTTTATGTACCGTCCAGCTCATTAGCTCATCTTCAGTTTTGGTTAATAATCTTATAATGTTCATTTCTGTGTTCAGAGCAGGAGAGAGTGAAATAAACCTGTAGAAGCTGACGGTTCTGTTTCCTCCTCCTGCAGAACGACGCCATCATAAACCGAGCCACGGGCCGGTGCCTGGAGGTGGTGCCGGCTAACGTTTACTTCGGCCACCTGCTGGTCCTGCAGCCCTGCTCCGGTCAGAGGTGGACCATCAAGAACGCCATGAAGCAATAATGAAGGGAGCAGGCAGTTCCCCTGGACTCTGGTTGGACCACATGGGTCACGTGACCTCACAGCGTGAGGCTCCGAGGAACGAGTTTTATTTTGAAAGGTTCAGTTATGGACAACTTTTTTTTTTTTTTTGCTAAGTGAAGATTTAAAACTAGAAATGACGCATGAGGACTGTTTCTCAGATGTTCTTGTTTGTGCCATTTTTCTCCAGTGTTTTTAAGTTTTATGTCTCATTTAGAGAAGATTTTCAACATTTCTCTCATCAGAATATCTGCAATATTTCATCCTCTCTCATGTCTTATAAGATGCAAAAAAACACAACAACATGGAGTTAACATGTCGACCTGCACTGAGCAGAAACACGAATTGTTTGTGTAAAAAATAAAACAAAGTTGTAATTTAAGAAATAACCCTTAAAGATTTTTATTTTTTCTTCCTTCAGAAGTTTAAACCCTGTAAATGTTTATCGTTTTAAAAATAAGGCACGGTTTGTGAATTTTGAAGCCTATTTTTTAGCAGCCGTCGTAAAAAAAAGTCGCAAAAAAATAAATAATAATTAAATAAAAATGTTTCATGGCCAACAGGGCTCCAGAGATAAACCCTGTTTCTGCACGTCACAGATTCTCTGTTTCAACCTGAAGCGTTTCGTAGCACGACTCTGAGGTGAAGCTAACGCTAACAGAACGCTGACTCAGCACTTCTCTGGACTCAAACTGCTGAGTCGGGGTCAGGTGGGAGGCTGACGTGCTGACAATGGTGGAACACCGACAAGCATGTGAAGTTCAATAAACTGTGTTTTTGGTTAAACTTTGTCGCTCCTCAGATTCTCTTCCAATAAACAGTTTCCTGTTTTCAAAACAAACATTTATTTACAATCTGAAGGTGCATATTTAACGTTTCTGCTTCATACGTGTGTTAGCTAAATGTCTCATGAATAAGTAATCGTCTAAAATTTAATGTCTTTTCTCGTCACCTTGATTCAAGATGGCCGCCACAGCTGATCTTCATAAACAAACTCAGTCAGTTTTACGGATATTGAGATTAAATCTGGTGGTCAACTCAAGGTCCACGGGCCAAATGAGGACCGCCGTGGCATTTTCTGTGGCTCACGAGAAGTGGAAAAACAAAAAACCTACATCTCTCACATGTTGATTATTTTACTTGTTTTTTATTAGCTTTTTCATTATATTGAAAATCATTAGCAAACCAATTAGCTTCCGCTAAATTAGGTTTTGCTGACTTTAAGCTAGCTAACAAGCTAACAACAAGTTTGTGTCTCACCGGTTTTTGAAGGAGACGAAGATGTGACAGACTGAGTGATGTTAGCAGTTAGTGTTACCTGCTGCTACTTTTTACTTGTTTAGCGTTCGCTTCTGCATTTTTTCACATTTACCATTAGCAAAACTAACTTTTTAGATAGCAGATAATGACTTTGCGATGCTAACTTTTAGTTGTGCCCACCAGTAGCAGCTACTCATCATGAATCAATAGTGAGTTGAACTCTCTTACTTTTACTTTAAATTTATTTATTTCACATGTAGTCAGTCGTACACGTAGCGCTTTTCAGTGTTTATAAGACAACCTGTTAAAACGCTGTTTCTTTGCAGGAAATACCAGGTAGAGCTCAGTTAGTGTTTGTTAGCAGGACTCAGCTGTAGCAGTAAGAAGAGGAACGTGACGTTTCCTGTTTAGTTGAAGTAAATCATGAAACATCTCAATAATCTCAGTCTAAATCTCTGCCATGAAAGGTGAAATGCTGGATTTTATTTTTTATGCTTTGACTTATAAACGCGGCACAAAAAGTGAGTAAATGTGTTGATTAGTGATTATACTAAAACGTTTTGGTAATAAACTTTAATAGTGTTGAAAAGTCTTTATTTCCATTAAGTGGAGCCAGATTTGTTGTTCTCTGCCAAACAGTTTGTTCTGATCAGGTTGTTGTGGCTGCGTATGGTTCTTCCACATGCTGCTGACGCCACTGTGGGCTAAAATAATTGTTAAACTGCTAAAAATGTTTAGTTTATTCAGATTTTAAACATCCAGTTCATTAACGGCTCGTATTAAAAATCAAAGCTGAATATTTGACAAGTTTTTCTTGGGGAAAACCAACAAATCTTTCTCTAATTTAGAGGAAATAAACAGATTTATTTCTAACAACTAATCAACCAAAAACTAGTTTCTTAACTTTTTCTGCTGAGTTTATGTTTCAAATTAATTAAAATGTAGAAAAATATCTTTGGACGATTCAACCTTTACAGAAA